TTTCCTCCACCTCATCGCAAAAGGCACATCTAGCCAAATACAAAATGATTTCCCAAGTCACAACAAAATACTAAAGAAATACCCAGGTTTTTTTAATCTAGCCTCTCAAAATTTTTCAATTAAAAAAAAAAAAAAAATCTCTTTAATTTCTTCTAGATTCCTTTTTTTCTCTGCTCATGCTCTCCTTTAAGTTCCTCTCTTGGATCTCCTTCAATTTCTCATGGAATTTTATTCCTTTCTTTCATTTTGTACAATTAAAAGTTGCCTGGTGTTAGGGTGTGCTAGTGATGTAGGTTGATGAGTCAACAACGATGGTGATGTGTAAGCTGATTGGGATGGCACCCATGAATGATGAAGAGGGTCCTTTTGGCAACACTTGTTTCACATGCAAGAGGTTACATGCCACGGGTCATCTCGGTTTGCCCAGCGATGTTAATCAACAGCGAATTCCCTAGCAAAGTTTGAAGGTATAAGTTTTTCAGCCAAGTGAAGAAGGAGAGTTTGCAGCGACAATAGGGTTCCAAGATGTCCAGCGATGTTGGTCAGTAGCAAATTCCCCAACAAAGTCTATAAGTAGAGTTTCTCCAACGAAGATTGAGAGTAGAGTTTCTCTAGCGAAGATTGAGAGTAGAGTTTCTCCAACGAAGTTAAGAAATAGAGCGTCCCCAGCCAAGCCAAAAAGAGTGGGGTGATGATGGTGCTCCCAAGATAACGAGAATGATTACACAACTACCAAAAATAGTCAAAATGAAATGGACATTGCTGTAGGAGCAATAAGGATAAAAAATATATGAAGGTTAAAAATTACAACTTGAGAAACACATTTTTACATAGTATATTGTAGCACAATAGCAAAAACAATGAATGTGCCCTCTATTATCCTTGACAAATACTCCTACTCTATAATGAGCAACCCTCACATTGTAGATAAAATACACAATGGTCTCTTTCAAGCTTTAACAAGACAAAAGGAATAAACTTGAAAGTAGTGACGGGAGAAGGAAAGATGACAGTTGTGGGGGCTTGTGAATGGAGAGCTTGATTCTGTTTTTTATGCTAACTCTTCAACTTGATCCTCTAATGCTCAAGAAAATAACCCAAAAATTGAAGCTATAGTATGTTGTCTTCCAGCCATGATGTTATGCACATTTGGAAATTATTTTGTAGTGTTGGAAATGCAGATTATATGAAGAAAATGGTGATTTCTGGGTAATTTTAGTGTGTAGAGTGAGTGGGTGAGGTTGAAGTATTTTTCAGAGGAAGAAAGGGTGGTCTGGTGTGTGAGAGGGAAGCTAA